GGCTCGATCAGCACCCCACAATTCTTTCATCAAATCATAATGTCTTATAGTTGACAGTTTCCATTTAGCTGCAGAAGGCTTCGCCTACAAAATAATGAGAATGGGTAACACTCGTAATTGTTATGTTTTGCTATATCAACAAATGATAATTCATATAATAGTACCTTAATTAGGTCATCCCATACTTCTTGCTCAGCCACAAACCGTTTTGTGATATCATCCCAAGCGAATCCACTAAGTCCATGAAACAAATCGTGGACCTCCCGCCATCTATCCTTAAGACTTTTTTGTCGATTTTTAACATTATTTTTAGTTATACCAATTATTCCAGACTGTCTTAGGGATTCAACTATATTATTATATGCTTGGGTTGTCCAACTACCATCAACCCGATTACCCAACCTTGCCTCATCAAGCATAGCAGTCAACAACCGAAAGTCCATGTCATCAGTCCATTTTGTAAACTCGCGCACTACAGATTGACGAATTCGGTGCAATATCCTTTCCTCTCGTTCATTTTAAACCTATTGGAAAGATAATATATGTAATTACGATACCAACATATAATTATTATAAATAGATAATCGTAATGTAATCGTATTTCAACAATAACAATAGTACATCTTATTAAATATATTATTACATACAAAATCTAATGACTTTGATAATCTATCCACATTTGATTTGCTATAGTATCTCTTAAGTTTGACCCTTCCCTATAATCCTCTTCCCGAACTTGAGTCGACATATTATCCACATCTTGTTCCATCAACTCTCGATCCACTTCAGCTAACAGCTGATTCATCGTTGTCTATCCCTCGAAGAAAATTGTGTAGAATGCAACATGCTAGGACTATATTCGTCATTGTATCAAATGAATAATGAGGCTCGTTCCACTAGCTATTATAGGAAATCTTTTCTTCAAAACTCCAAATGTTCTTTCAATGACATTTCTAAGAGACAAATGTCGATGGTTAAACAATTCTCGGGGTTTTGTGGAGCTCGTCGAGAATACTCTTTAAGGTGGTATCTAACGCCTCGATAAGGGGTCATTATGTTTGCTTTTAACATAAATTCAGCATCCCCCAAGTAGTATTTACCTATTTAAAATCATTGAAGTTATACTAATTAGAATATTTAAACTAGTTGACTATACACAAAATCCGCATGTTATAAATAATAAACCTTGTGGTATGATAAGGCGATCCTCTCTCGTAAGAACATCCTTTAATTATATTTATATATATATATATATATATATACATATTCTAAAATATAATTTATATTAATTACTATAATATAAAATATATATTCCACAATATTACTAAAATTTATATATATATTATAGAAATGAAAATAAATTATATTTTAGAATATATAATTTTGATAGAAAATTATATATATATATATATATATATATATATATATTCTAAAATATAATTTATATTAATTACTATAATATAAAATATATATTCCACAATATAACTTATTTTCATTTGTATATATATTATAGAAATGAAAATAAATTATATTTTAGAAGATATAAACGTTCAAATGATCGATTACTTTGCAAATATGATCGATCACATTTTCAATTCCTCGAGACCTTAGATAGCGGTTAAACTGGAACCGCTATCATATGTTCACATCCGATAGCGGTTTCGGATTAACCGCTATCTAAAGGCTCCAGAATTTGAATTTATTTTGATCTATAATTATATTTATATTTTTATATATATATATACATACATATTCTAAAATATAATTTATATTAATTACTATAATATAAAATATATATTCCATAATATTACTAAAATTTATATATATATTATAGAAATGAAAATAAATTATATTTTAGAATATATAATTTTGATAGAAAATTATATATATATATATATATATATTCTAAAATATAATTTATATTAATTACTATAATATAAAATATATATTCCACAATATAACTTATTTTCATTTGTATATATATTATAGAAATGAAAATAAATTATATTTTAAAAGATATAAACGTTCAAATGATCGATTACTTTGCAAATATGATCGATCACATTTTCAATTCCTCGAGACCTTAGATAGCGGTTAAGCTGAACCGCTATCATATGTTCACATCCGATAGCGGTTCCGGATTAACCGCTATCTAAAGGCTCCAGAATTTGAATTTATTTTGATCTATAATTATATATATATATATATATATATATACATATTCTAAAATATAATTTATATTAATTACTATAATATAAAATATATATTCCACAATATTACTAAAATTTATATATATATTATAGAAATGAAAATAAATTATATTTTAGAATATATAATTTTGATAGAAAATTATATATATATATATATATATATATATATATATATTCTAAAATATAATTTATATTAATTACTATAATATAAAATATATATTCCACAATATAACTTATTTTCATTTGTATATATATTATAGAAATGAAAATAAATTATATTTTAGAAGATATAAACGTTCAAATGATCGATTACTTTGCAAATATGATCGATCACATTTTCAATTCCTCGAGACCTTAGATAGCGGTTAAGCTGGAACCGCTATCATATGTTCACATCCGATAGCGGTTCCGGATTAACCGCTATCTTAAGGCTCCGAATTTGAATTTATTTTCATGTAAAATTATATATATATATATATATATATATATATTAATTAAAATAAGTTATATTTTGGAATATATATTTTATATTTTGAAAATTAATATAAATTATATATATATATATATATTAATTAAAATAAGTTATATTTTATATTTGAAAATTAATATATATGTATTTTCTTAACTTTTTGCAGTAATTAATATAAGAATATCTCTGCATGGAAGAGGGTAAGTTGGACATTTCAATTTGTCCAGGAGACTTTCATCTATTTTCTTCGTGCATCGGCGAATAAACTCTTTCTCCCATCTCCCCCTTTTCCTCGCCTTCATTTCGTCATAAATCTGCTTCAACCAAATGTGTGTGAATCTCATGTTTCTGTCTTCGTGAACAGTATATCGGTTCAAACAAACACGAGGCTTAGTTCCTCGTAATTAATTTTCTTTATTTTTATTTTTAATTAAATTTTGAAATTAATAAAACAATTATAAAAGTGAGTGTAACGAGCAAAAACAAATTCTGAATCAGTTTATAGAAGCTTCTCTGGATAGTAAAATTAGATTAGTTTTCCTGTAAGTTTATGTTGATGTATGAGTTATTTTGTAAAAAGTATTTAATATTAATTATTATCAAATATATTTCCTAATTTCCACTTAAATTATTTTAAACTTATAAAAAATATTTTTTTTAAATTAGTATTATAAAATTTCCTTCCAATATTTATTAAAAAACAAATAACATATCCAAAAGGAACATAAGAAATTTTCTCTCTCTCTCTCTCTATATATATATATATATATATATAAAAGTTTGTTTGTTTATTTATAAGTACTTATTAAATTTGTTTAGAATTAGTACAAGTTTTTTTATTAATTTTTTTCAAAATCTTAATTTTAAAGTCAAATATAAATTTATTGTAGTATGAAAATTATTATTTTATTTTATTTTTCTATAAATGTTCGAAGAAAAAATACCTTCCCCATATACAGGTTTTTTTTGGAGAGGTTTCTGAAATCCCTAATGCCAATAATTAGCAAAAGTTACTCAGGGTCAGATCTGTTTTTCTCCCCATATACTGTTTTGTTAAAATGTCTTAGTAAAAAAGAAAAGTGCAAATAGCAACAACTTTGAAGAACAATACTACTCCTTGGGCCACGGCTAGGAAAACACCAGTATATGCCCGAGCCCAGTACAGATGTATTATTATTATTATTATTTAATATAAATTAGAATATATATTTTTAATTTGAATATTAAATCATAATAATCACGGTTGTCATAAATTTCTTACTTATTAATTTATTTATTATAATAGTACATATTATTAATTAATTTGAATCATAATATATTATTAGTTTGCATATTCAAATCAAATTATATTTTTCTTGGCTGTGATAATAAAATGATAAACTTTTTTAAATCACTATCACGTTTATTATTAAATTAATGAGTAAAAAAAATTATTCTTGCAAAATTCAAGCTAGCGTTCTTATAATAGCATTTTTTTGTTATTGATAGAAAAAGAATTACCATGTTATTCACACAAAATAAATCACTTATACATATAACAAGATGGTGATAAAAAATTAACAATAATCTTTTAACTGAACGTGAATATACTATTATTACATTATTATTCAATATGTTATATTTGAAAATTTAATTAAGTTTTATAATAATTATTTTAAAGTAATATTAAGATAGTTTTTAATTAATTAAAAAATTAGCTAACAGTACAGGGGTATTAAGCTTAATTTTATATACTTGAGAAGCAATTTAAAAAAAATGTAAAAATAAAAACATTTAAAGGAATTTATCAGTTGGTCTCTAATATTTGATGGAGCAAATTGACACTTTGATTTATTTTAAATAGGAACGTAACAAGAAAATGAAATTTTTAATTTAACCTCGAAATATGTGAAAAATAAAAATAAAGAGTCATTCTTAAATATTATTAAAACTTAATAATAAAATAATCACTAAATTAATATTTTAATAATAAAATAATATCGCCCACTAAGGGGAGTGAACAAAATGCAGCTTCGATTGTTTTGTTAGGGTAAGTTTGGTCACCCACCATACACACCTTTGGCTGTCTTCTCATCTCGCGTTTGGTTGCCTGAGAACACTGTCCGGTACCTCTTATTGTTTTGTTAGGGTAAGTTTGTTCACCCTCCTTTATGCTATTCTATTCTGTGAAATTTCCTCTTAATTGCTATGCAATGTTCCTTTTACCTTTTTTTTTTTTTTTTTTTTTTTTTTTTTTATGATGTTTTCATTACAGGAGCCATAAGCTGGTGTGGTGTTTCCTTTATTTCAGTTTTTTATGAATACATAGAATTTTTTGCAACATGCTAGGTTCATTACCTATATTGCCTCTCCCTGCCCCTCCTGCTGATGGAAATCTAGGTCCTCTCCCTGAGTCTCAAGTGTCTGAGGAGAGGACTTCCAATGAAGAGCAGAACAAATCGAATTCGGCTTCTGTTCCAGTGCCAGCAACAGTTGCCACTCACACAAGAACCATTGGAATTATACATCCTCCTCCAGATATTAGGACCATTGTTGATAAAACCTCCCAGTTTGTGGCTAAAAATGGTCCAGAATTTGAAAAGAGAATTATTGCAAATAACACGGGCAATGTCAAATTCAATTTCCTCAGCTCATCAGATCCCTATCACGCTTATTATCAACATCGATTGGCTGAATTTCGTGCTCAAAATCAATCATCAGGACAGCAAATTTCTTCCCAGACAGCAGACTTGGCTGTTCCTGAGTCAGCTCAATCCGCTCCTGACCCTGATAGTAATGGCATAACAACAGTAGAAAAGCTCGATGTTTCTGCCCAATTTAAACCTGTTAGGAAAGTACTTGAACCCCCTGAAGCAGAACAGTATACTGTTCGGCTTCCTGAAGGAATTACGGGTGAAGAGTTGGATATTATAAAGCTTACAGCACAATTTGTGGCTCGAAATGGGAAATCTTTTTTGACAGGGTTGACAAGTAGGGAAGTTAATAATCCCCAGTTCCACTTTCTGAAACCAACCCACAGCATGTTTACGTTTTTTACTTCCCTTGCGGATGCATATTCGAAGGTTTTGATGCCACCAAAGGGGTTGACGGAAAAGCTGAAGAAGAGTGTGTCTGATATGACTACTGTCCTTGAAAGGTGTGTGAATAGGTTTGAATGGGAGCGATCCCAAGAGCAAGCTAGACAAAAGGCTGAGGATGAGATAGAACAGGAGAGAATACAAATGGCTATGATTGATTGGCATGATTTTGTGGTGGTTGAAACAATAGATTTTGTTGATGAGGAGGACGAAGGATTACCTCCCCCAATGACTATTGAGGTGGTTATAAGGAGAAGCAAGGTGTCAGCCACAGAAGAAGATACTGTTGAACCTGAAAAAGAGGTTGAAATGGAAATGGATGACGAAGAGGCCCAGCTTGTTGAAGAGGGAATGAGAGCTGCTAGTTTGGAAGACCCAGATGATGGGAAGCAAAATGAAGTTAAAGTTACGGAAGACCCGGAACCACCAATGAGAATTGTTAAGAACTGGAAGAGACCAGAGGAGAGGATTCCTGCGGAAAGAGATTCAGCCAAGTTTGTTGTTTCTCCTATCACTGGTGAATTGATTCTTATCAGTGAAATGTCAGAACATATGCGAATTTCTCTCATTGATCCGAAGTACAAAGAACAAAAAGAAAGGATGTTTGCCAAAATTAGAGAGACAACTTTGGCTGCCGATGACGAAATTTCAAGAAACATTGTTGGACTTGCCCGGACCCGTCCTGATATATTTGGGACCACGGAAGAAGAGGTCTCCAATGCTGTCAAGGCAGAGATTGAGAAGATAAATGACGAGCAACCCAAGCAGGTTATATGGGATGGTCACACAGGTAGTATTGGGCGTACTGCAAACCAAGCCATGTCACAGAATATTGGAAACGAGGACCAAAATGATACTTCTAATAATGAAACCAAGAACCTTCTTGGTCCTGCTGCACCTCCTCCAAGACCTGGTATGCCTTCGGTTCGTCCTCTTCCGCCACCACCTGGGTTGGCTTTAAATCTTCCTCGTGGTCCTGTGCAATATTCTGGTCCTCTTAGTGGTGCCCTTCCAATTCATCCACCCAGGCCACCAGTCATGCCGATGATGCCATCTGTTCGTCCTGCTCCTCCTCCAATGCCGATGACTTTTGGGCAGCAGTCAGTTATGGCTGGTCAACCACTTCCCGGGCCTCCAACAATTCATATGAATAACCAAGGATTTGCAATACCTCCACCACCAGGATCTCAGTTCACCCCTGTTCCAGTTCCTCGACCTTATGTTCCTCTTCCTGTTCCACCATCAGTTATGCCTATGATGCATCCACCACCTTTGCCTCAAGGAGTGCCACCACCACCACCACCGCCAGAAGAGGCCCTTCCCCCACTCCCAGAAGAACCAGAACCAAAGAGGCAGAAGCTTGATGATTCTGCTCTGATCCCTGAAGATCAATTTCTGGCTCAACATCCTGTACGGATCAGCATAGTTAACAATTATTATTTTGCTAAATGTTTTATAGAATTGTATTTAGAGTCACTACTATTTTTATCTATCTTAACTGGCATTCTGTTTTACTCTGATAGGGACCTGTTCGTATCACTGTATCTGTTCCTAATGTTGATGAAGGAAATCTTAAGGGACAAATTCTGGAAATTACAGTGCAATCTTTGTCTGAAACCGTTGGTATTTTGAAGGAAAAAATCGCTGGGGAGATTCAGCTCCCTGCTAATAAGCAGAAATTGAGTGGAAAGCCAGGCTTTCTCAAGGATAATATCTCACTTGCCCACTACAATCTTGGTGGAGGTGAAACACTGACCCTGACCTTGAGAGAGCGTGGAGGTAGAAAGAGATGAGCATGTCGCTTGCATGTCCGATCAAGAAGGTTGTTGAAATCTTTGCCTTATTGTAAGGCATATATGGACTCTTATAGTATTGATAGACTTCATGTTATTTCTTGAATTTTAGGTTGAATACATTAGATTTATTGTATTTTGAGACATCTTGAGTATTTACTGCTTTCTTGAAGACTGATGTTAATTCTGGAATACAGATTTTAGCACCTTGGCAACAGTATGGATTTGGTAGATAATCTAATTTTGGGGGAGATAGTTCCATAACTGTCAACTGTGAATCTGTGATGGATCCGTTACTGAATGTGGTCTCAATGCTTTTTGCGGGATGAGAACAATTGGTTTATTATTGTTGATTTTTCTGTAATCTTTATGCTTGTTCAATACTGGAAGCTGCACTTTGGGAAATTTTTCAGGAGTTGAGATTAGACTGGAACAGTGGATACACAAGAGAGTGACTCTAGAACAGCTTTGACTCTTATTTCTAATTGATCATCCTTGATTCAGAACATAAAGGTGTTGACAGTGTTGTGTGGATGTATATTCAGTTAAACATGGGCTCACCTTGCAAAGCCAATTTAAGATTCTGAGTCCTTTTTTTTTTAAATGTTTACTGTTTTATTTTTCTATAAGTTTTTAGCATATTGTTTTTTCTATGAATATAAATAGAGGTGTTTTTATTTATTTATTTATTATTATTTCTACATCTACTTTTTATCTTGGGAAAGGATATTACTTTCAATTGCAAAGAATACTACATAAAGATATTTGTTAGTTTTATACGATGATTTCTACATCAAATTATGACCAATCGGTGGACTTTCAGATACCACGATTCCCTTGGCAAATCCTACTAAATGAAACACAAGTTACAACATTGACATGGACAATCGTAGAAAATCATGCATATTTATCGGTACTTGTTGTGTTATGCTTTTATAAAAAAAAAAAAAGTAAGGAAGATTTCAATCTACTACCCCAACAAAAAGTATAATATAAAAATTTAATTCAACCTACAGCTTGCTTGAGATGCCAAGATAAAAAAAGCTTGCTTGCAGATGCCAAGATAAAAACTGACCTCTGCAATGTAGAATGAAGACGTGCCATTGGATACAAAACAGTACCAAACATTAATGGAAATGCTGCTTCAATTGGGGAATCTTAGCCAACAAATTTGAACAGAAAGGGACCCATTGCTGTGTTTATAGCAGTAACCTGTGAGCCTCATGGAATTATGGAAAACAAACTTAGCCAACTGAAGTTCTCATGTTGATAATATAAAAAATTGTCTTAAGTGTACTAGATTTAGCATAACACTATTCCTTTACAATGAACAGGTGGTCCCCATAATATTTTTACATCATGTCAAGAAGCAAAATTCTCACTACTACAAAATCAACTAACCTAATTTGTCAAATAAATAAAATAGGTGGTGATGAGTTAACATTTTATGACATAAATATCAAATTAGATATTTTTTTATTTTTCTCCTTGTAACTTATTTGATTACATCATTAGAAAATAATCAATCATGATAACGTGATTGCTTTTATCATTACTATCTTATTATTTTGTTCAATTTTTTTCTGTCTAACTATTCGATACTAATAATTAGCACATCAAGTATCTAATCACAAAATAATTAGCACCTCGAGTATCTAATCATAAAATAATTGGATAACATAGGGTCTCTAGCTTCGCATTGTAGTGCACAGTTTCTATCAGATATAAGCAGTTTATTCACATGCTGAGTATGCTCCAAACATAGGTACACACTTGCCCAAAGGTGTCTATACCAAAATATCAAAGGTTAATAGTTAAAGGTTTATTATCAAAGCAAATTCTCTGAAGTAAAAAAATTATGGATATTACCTCATAGAAGATCATTCTAATATGCATCATTAATCCCACAACAGACAACAATGTACATGACTCAAAATTTAGACATAATTTTCTTCAACTATGCTGCTAGTTAGGAAAGAAGGGCTGCTTGGAAGTTGGAACAATAAGGGAAGACAAAAAAATGTTAGCTTTGATATTTGGAGAGATTCATTTGATAGACAAATAGGGAAATGTAAGTGCAGAGAGGTCATTCAGTTTTATTAGTTTTTGTTGAAGAGAGCATTAGCACAGTGGTGAACTGGGAAACCCTTAGTAAAGGCCTGAAGGGGAAACCTTCAGAAGAAGAGTTCCTCTGTTATTCATTTGTAATTCAATCACCAATATCAGAGGCATTATTTTCTTTCTCCCTTGTTACCTATATCAAACATCATATTCTGTCCATAGGTTCCTACCACATTGTAGACTAAAATTGAGTATGTAGCATAGAAAAACATGTCATAGTTGTTCTGCAATGTATGTTAGTAGCAAGCCAATATGAGAAACAAGCACCATATATCACGAACATCACAAACCTGAAGCAATCACATTCTGTCTTGTTGAAGTCTGAGAATTTCCCATTCTCTAATGCAGTTGACATCCTTGCCCGAACTTTGTTGGTGCATCACGAGAAGCCTAATCGGCCAGACAACCATGAATCCAATGAATGAGAAATAAGTTTCATTATATGTATAATGAAAATGTTGATCTTTCCCTCTTGTACAAAATGAGAAATTAGACTGGATTGGATGCTCAGGGCTGAAAGTAAGAGACCTGCAGTTACAGAAACAGTGTTGAGGAGGTACGTCTCAGTGTTAGCTCTCCTGTTATTTTTGTTTTAATTTTCTCTTTAACTGCTATTTTGTTGCTAAATCCCCAATACCCGATGCTATGGAGGAACCTGCTCCTATTTCCGCCCTTATACATGCTGCTATTATGGTAGGCCGCTAGAAATTTTCTTTTAGCTCAAATTCTTCCCCTTTTCATAATTCTACCTGAAATAACGAAGACAATAGCTTTTATAAGTATCATAAGAGTAATCTTAGGAGCTACTTCAACTATTGCTAAAAAAGATATTAAAAAAATTTTGGTCTATTTTACAATGTCTCAATTGGTTATATGATATTAGCTATAGGTAAGGATGTTTTCGAGTCGTTTTATTTCATTTGATTACTCATGTTTGGTATGTTGGTGCCATTTTCTGTTATTAAGGGATATGTGAGCTAATGCCTTTTGAAGATAAAAATGCTTTGATCATTTAGTCTTCTTCTGCAGGAGAATTAAGTTATTTGATCATTGATTTATGGTTTTTGTTTTAAGATAAAAGTCTTGGGTCGGGGAACAATTTTTCAATTTACCTGTTGACATTCCAATAGTTGAAGTGCCTATCCATTCTTGGTTTGTATTAAGTATTTTCATATGGTTTGCAGCTTGTCTTCATCTTTCATTCTCAATAATAGTAAAGTTATATAAGGATTGAGTTGTTTGCTTTCTTTTTCAGTCAATGAAGGTAAATCCTAAGGAATTGAATCCATATTTAAAGGATAGTGAAAGTTGTTACCCAGAAGAAAATGATGGAGCTAAAGTTGGTGCTTGCCAACTTCTATCTTCTTCCCTTGTTGGATGGAGGAGCAAGTTGGAGACTTAACTCTTGAAGCGTGCACAAGAACAAGCAGTTTGATAAGGACGGAACTTTAACAAGGTTATTTTGCCTTTCTTCCAGATATTCCATGTTCCTATGTAAAGAGGTATCTTTATCATCCTATTAGAATGTTGCTGTTTACTCCATGGATATGTGCAAGAAAGGTGGGTTCTATTGCTGAGTTGATTGCATCTAATGTAGCTGCTGCTTCAGTTCAAGATTATAAATAAATAGAAAAAAAAGGGATAACTAAAGAAAATTCACCAGATTCTGATAAGCGTGGTCAATGGGATTCTAAAACACATTAATTTTGATAACAAATTTGGAACTCTTTTAATAAGTTTATGTCTAATTAATTTTTGTTAATCACATTATTTTGGAATTCTGAAATTTAATCCCTTACACTTCGAAGAAAAATTCTGTGGTTTTTATATGGGTAAATCTGACAGGACTTCATATTATTAAATCAGCATGTAGAGTTACTTTTGAAATAAAATATATCATAATTTTATAGACATTCATTCAGATTTAAAATCATTAATTACTCATTTTCATAAAATACTAATAACATATTTTAATATAATCCTAAAAAGCATTTGAACAAGTTACACTAACATAAAGTAATTTAAAAACATAACATTATAAAATATAATAAAACATAAACCTATAGACTGAGACTTCAATACTAGCAACTCGCCTTTACTTCTTAGCTTTAAGAATCTTTCAAAGAGCAAGGCTTTCCGAATCATAACTAACATTTAAAAATTTCTAAAGAAGACTCTCGCCTTTACTTCTTAGCTTTAATCATAACTAACATTTAAAAATTTCTAAAGAAGACTCTCTGAATCATAACTACTACTAAATATGACAAACAAATTTCAGAGGCAAATATTTGAACTTAAAAACAGAGCCCTCTACCAAGAGGTCTCTTTCAAAAATTAGCGTATGCCGCTTTTGGTGACAAACACACGGTATTCTTTAGTAAAAGGCGAAAGAATAGTTCGCTTTGTGCTTATCACACGGCTCCGTGCCTTGAACTATCGAACAATCTTTTGTCTTATAGGGTAAGCAGTTCACATGCTTTCAGTAAAAATTCGATGTGGGCTTTGTTCTAAAAAACGAACTATTCCTTCCTTTGTATTCTTCTGAACTAATACTCTCGCATGTTTAATACGTTTTCGTGAGAGGAATCAAATACATTTTTTTATAAACATTGAAGCTTAGATTAATTGCTTCCCATTTCACATAAAAAACACATGTTATATAGCTAAATCTGAAAGAAAGAGAAAGTTCAATAACCTAATAGGCAAAAACTGATCAATGTACAAATTCTCAAACCCACCTTAAATATAAGTCTATAATTTGTTAAGTTGGCACACACTATCTGAAAAAAGTTTACCTCAAAGGCTATCAGACTCAAAGTCCATTTTTATGGCTACTGGAGCTAATTAAGATTCATTACCCACATTAAATAAAATTAGAATTTACTCCGAAGTTAAGAATGCATGAAAATGCTCCTTCTCTAAAATGAAACCGAACCAACCCTCCTCCATTGACAATACACTCTTGCTTTGTGGCTTGTGAAGTAACTACATCAAAATATGGCGTTGTAGTCTGAAGCAGATATTGAATGCAGAGAGTTGCCACACTTCGTATTTGACATAGTCCTGCAAGATACCATTAGCTAGTGTTGGAAACAAAGAATACACAACAAAGTATTTACACATAACAAAATAATTACATATCACATGAAAACTTCTCCTACAGCTAAAGAAATGGTTGCAATTTTGCCCTGGAACAGAATTAAATTGATAGTATTCCTAGCAACGGACAAAAGATTTATGGCTATTCCGACGCATTGTTAATTCTGAGGTCCTAATTCAACTTTCACTTTAAATAAAATAATTGACACTTTTATTATTGATACATGAATTCAAGTGCTAAGATTAAATTTATAGAGGGGGTGGGGATAGATAATCATAAAAAAAAGACTAAGTTCGAAAAATTTTCATATTGAGATTTACATCAGACATGATTAATCTTGATCAAAAGCAAGAGCAAGTGGTCTTGTGCTTAACGTTTTAAGCTGTATCTCCAAAAGAATAATTAACGAGAAAGTTCCTTCTATAAAATCAGACTGAAAAGTAATTCATGAAAAATTGCAGATGACAACCATTGTATCTCAGTATCATACCATTGCAGAGGGACAGTTATCAAAATCATTCATAAAAATGCACATACCTTCAACAAATCTTTACTTTAAATTTAATATCATTCAATTAAGGAATGCAAACAGTGTCATAGTTCATAAAACTTTGGCAGAACAGTCCTTCTACCTGCAAGCTACTGCATACTTCTATAATGCATCCAAGTTGGCCATTAACCCACATACATAAAAATCACATAACATATATTACAAGGGAATATTAGATAAACCCCAGAATAAGTTTATTTAATAAATAATCTTTGAAATTAAGAATTCAAATTTTAAAGCTTGAAATTTGCTGAAAATTAATCTGCTTTGACAGTATCTCTTCATTCTGGAAAGTGATTAACTGACTAACAATTTGCGAAACTGGTGATTCACACCAAGTTTACCTAAATCAAGTGTGGAGTAAATTTTTATTCGAATCCTATCATTTAGTTCTCTGGCATTACAGTGATAGTTTGTTCTTAGTGTTTCTTGAAAGACAGTACGAAATGAGGTGGATTTTTCTTTTGTTTAAAAGCTTAGGAGCAATATCACCATGGTGTACACAGTCCTATGATATGAATTTTAGGATTAACAAGCCCCTCCATCATTTTAGTATGCTCCATAAAACATGCATCAATGTTTGTTTTCTTCGCTCCTAGTAGGTCCTGGAACATCATCATTAAAATGTTTCATATTTTCCTAATAGTGTCCAAAACCAATAATCAAAGTTCTCTCTACACTCTGATGTGCCAATTACAATAATAACTTAATATCATAAAATAACATCTCTGTTACTAGAGATGCAATGCAACTCTGATTAAAATAAGGTTAAAAGTGAAAAAAAATTATATAATAATAAATGAAGTTGTTGAAAATTATTTTTTTTTCTTTATTTATAATGATGGACATGTGAAACTTTTATTTTGGGCTGAGCCCATGGGCTGACCACGCACCTCTACTTAATAAAAATGAAAATAAAAAATTCTTTTGGGAACGTTCCTGAATGTCATGAAACTACACTTCTAGACATTAATCTTCCAAGGAGAAGATAAATGAAGTTCAAAGCGTATTAAAATACGTGAATAAAATGAAGTAGGAAGCATATTAAAAGCCAACAACGCTAACAATTTTGCATCTTAAATAGTTTTTTTTTTTTAAATACAGATTTTTTTTTACTTATGATTTTGTACTTTGTCCTCTTTTCTCTATTTTTTCTTTCCTTAAACAAATGATGTTTGCATAGATAAATATATCGTTGGAAGCCTTATATATGTTTTCAGTCCCTATAACATGAAAGAATTTTAATTTTAATCCCTTTCAAAATTAAAATTACAATTTTTAATTCAAGTATTATATGATACTAACTAATTTTTTGTGTTATAAAAAGTTAAATGATCATCTGAATAATATCATACTTATAATATAATATTAGCTTGTATTATTTAAAAAAATTCTAAAATTCTCGTTTATCTTAAAAAAATAAATAAGAACTAAAGATAATAATTTTAAAATTTAAAAGAATAATATTAGAAGAAAATATATTTCAAGATGATAAAATTAAAATTCACACATTTTTTTATGAATTAAAAATAATTTATTTATCTTTGTATAAGATAAAAAATAAAGAAAATTTTGTGAAAAACAAAATTAAAACTCTCTTATTTTACTGAAACTAAAAATATATTTAAATTTAGTTATAATTAGTCCACCTAAACTATATCTTCACACTTACCCTTTTCCTATAATATTTTTAAGTTTAAAAAACCATAAATCCCATTGCAGACAAAAATATATATTTCTAATAATTTTATTTGGATTATTTTTAATAAATATTTTAGGTTGTGAAACAATCATCACTCAAAAATAAAATACTAAATAGGTTATAAAAGTGACAAAATGTTGAAGTTGAAAGAAAAACATAGGACTAGGGGTAGGGACGCATTCCTTTGAGGCCAAGAGCCATGCTCCTAATATTGTTATCCAACTCGTCTTATCAGCAATAGCCTTCGTATTTAACTTTATATTAATTTATTCATGACTTAGTGTTTATTTATTTATTTATTTAATAGCTAATATTACTGTTTTTTTTATAATAGACATATACATAAATTAATTTTAATCCATAATTTTTTTTATTATAGTGTTTATAGAAAATTTTATATAAATAGGTCTTAAGTGAAACTTTGAAAATAAAATGTGAATTTTGCAACTGGCTAACCATGAAAATGTAATAACAATAATAACATACAAGAAAAAAAAGACTAATATACTTTACCATCTAATTATTTTCATTTTTCAAATTGTATCATCAACTTTTTCTTTTCACGTATTATTATTTTTGCATATTTTATCATTAATTTTTGTTGACATAAAATGGCGTTGTTTTATAAACATACAACAACAAAATTTTGTTACATATTTAGTAAATTGGTAGAATGCCCAAATTTTGAAAATATAAGATAATAAAATGTGAAAATAAAAATAAATGAATATGCAAAATTAAAATTCTCAAAAAGAAAGAAAATATTATCATGAAAATGTGAAATTCCAAATATCAGGAAACTTTGTAAAAATTATTTAAAGAGAATGTAAAATGGGGGAAACTGACCTTTAAAAGGATAGGAAAATGAAACTATCAAACAAAAATAAAATATTTTAATAATATGAAAGTTCTTAGGTTTTGCAGATTCCTTAGCTATATAATCTTAGTTTCTGATGTTTGTGACGAAGTCAAAATTTGAAGATGTCTTTGTGATAGAGAGAAAGAAGTTCTTGAAAAGTATAATGTTCACTTGATAAACTATTTATAATGATTACTGTAATAATATTTTAAAAATGATAAATCAGATTAATCATTTATATCTTTTCCCAATCAACTAAAAAACTCGATGAACTAAGAAAAGTTGAAAAGTCAGAAACAATCCATTTAATATCTACTGAATGAACGATTCTCACAATTATTAAATTGGCATACACACAACAATAGCAGTAAACGAACAGGGACGAGATGAACTGAACATGAAAAGTACGAAGGAGACATTAATTAAAACATGTTGAAAGCATGCAGTATGCAGACAGAATACAGTGAGTTATCTCAGCAGTCTCTAGTGTACAAACCACAGTGTTTGATGGGGCTACCACCTCTTGGATCGGGCAAACAGCTACGATAAACTTCACCTGGACATTGAACTGCTGGTTGATTTTGGTTGCTGGTTAACCCAGACAGACTCACATCATACAGCATCATGCCAAAATGGGAGCTCGTGGATAACTCTTGTTTTTCTTCCCACTGGGTGTGCTTGAGACACGCAATCGCTATGCTTCCATGTAAGTGGAGCAATAGAACCAGTGACACCACCAAGGAGAATGATCCCTCTTTCATCTCCAAAATAGTGAAAGTTCACAACACTTTCAAGTTCACCGTCCCAGTTGGATATGTCAGATTCGATTGCCTTGTAGCAGGATAAGTATATCAACTAAATCACTATATCAACCAAACTCATCCCATGTAAAACTACCATGTAATTTAATTAGTCCAAACTACCTTATGTCAGATATTTTAATTAGTCTAAACGATAACTATCACATAATTTTGATACAAATAATTATTTTTATCTGTTGTAAAAATGTCTTTTTCCAATATTAGTGTTATAATTACTTTTTTGTTTATCTCATTTTCTTTATATTTTGCTCTCGTGTTTTTTTTTTTTTTCAGTTTATTTATCCTTACAATGTTTATTAATTTTTTTCTCTCTTTTGTTTAATTCTCTATTTCTTTCTCCCCCACTACACTCCAAAAGTACGATTATGTGGTTACAATGTTTCCTATCAACTTCATCTAAACACAGGGTCTTTTTCAAACACTCTACTAACACTTTTTATTTTTCTCTATCTCTTCTTGTCTATATATATAAAATATCTATATTTTACATTTTTGCTTTCTTTAATATTTTGAGTCTTCATGTAAATACATTCCTTTGGACAATATAACCTAACTAAAGACAATTAAACATTTTTTTGTTGTCGTCACTGAAATTTCCACACATAGGCCAAAAAAAGTTGTGATAACAAGAGCTTGTCTAGAAATTGAAATGCATAACTATACAGAGTCTAAAAAAGAAAAAAAATATATACATTGATTCATTAATAGTGTTTGAGGTCTTTGTATTGCTACAGTATGCTACTTCAATTGCAGATTATCCATGGAAGCACCGTATCTCGAATTGGTTTAGGAACAATCCTCCTCCTCCTTTTCCTGTTGTTGTGCCTTTCTTTCTATTGCATAGGAGACGATATATATCGTCCCAACGACCTCTTCGGCATCAGCTGTGGCTCATCCACCAACTTCTCCACGCTCGATACTCGGAATTGGACTGCAGACATCAAATTCCTCTCTCCAACCCACCAAGCAGTTGCTGCTCCTCCACTCACACCATCTACCCAACAGGGTCCTTACAACTCCGCTCGTCTCTCTCAATCCCAATTCACCTACTCATTCCCTGTCACCCCAGGCCCTAAGTTCCTTCGCCTTTTCTTCTTCTCAACTTCATACCCCAACTTTGATCGCTCCAAAGCCTGTTTCACTGTCCAAGCAGGCCCATACACCCTCCTTCAAGATTTTAATGCTTCCCTTAATGCGGACGCTGATGACGACCCTGGCAACACCAACGTCTTGTTCAGAGAGTTTTGCGTCCACGTAGGAGATGGTGAGAGGCTCAAAATAACATTCATTCCCAGCGCCACAGATTCGTATGCTTTCATTAATGGAATCGAGATTGTTTCCATGCCCTCTTATCTCTACTACACCAATCCTAAAGTCCACACCGCTGAATTGCCACGTTTTGTTGGAGGAGAAACATATGAAGTTGATAACAACTCGGCTCTCGAAACGATGTACCGGTTAAGATGTGGGGACGCAATTATTCCCGCCTCAGGGGACACGGGTATGCTCAGGATCTGGGATGTGGATACTAAATATGTAATTTCTCAAAGTGTAGAATCTATTGATTTTGGCCATAAAACTAACCTAAGCTTCACTGAGAAGACGCCTAACTACACGGCACCAGACCTTTTGTACCGATCCTTAAGGAATATGGGACCTAATGCCTCTATTAACATTAGCTTCAACCTCACATGGCGGCTTCCTGTTGATCCTGGTTTCACCTACATGCTAAGGTTACACTTTTGCCAGCTTAACCCGCTAGTTAATCAGTCTGGTGACATGATCTTCCTCATCTTCATTCAGGATCATTTGGTTGAAAACATGGTAGATATTTTCTCTTGGACTGATAAACAGAGGGGTGTACCAGTGGTTAGAGACTACGCAGTTAACATCTCAGCCAAAGGGAATCAGAAAAAGGCATATATTTCTCTGAAAATGAGGCCTCACCCTCAAAGCAAGATCATGGACGCACAGCTAAACGCAATTGAACTCTTCAAAATTAACGATCCAACAGGTAATCTCGCTGGACCTGACCCAGACCATCTTCCACAAACCCCAAATGATCAAATGTCAACCAAGAAAAACAACAGCACCATGAGAACACTTGTTTCCGTTGCAGGGGCAGTTTCCAGTGTCGTTTTGTTCTCCTTCATTATCGCTTTCCTCCTCATTAAACGCCGGAAGAACGTCGCCGTCAACAAGGGTTCCAGTAAAAAATACAGAACTTCTCGGGGCAGCAGCTCATTATCGATTCCAACCGACCTCTGCCGCCACTTCTCAATTGCAGAAATGAGAGCCGCCACCAACAACTTCGATGAAGTCTTCGTGGTTGGCGTGGGAGGCTTCGGCAACGTGTACAAAGGCCAGATCGACAACGGCTCAACTACTGTCGCAATCAAAAGGCTGAAACCGGGTTCCCGCCAAGGTATTCGCGAGTTCAGAAACGAGATCCAAACGCTTTCTCCACTTCGTCATCCCAATATCGTTTCCCTCATCGGTTACTGTTACGAGGGCAACGAGATGATCCTCGTTTACGATTTCATGGATCACGGAAGCCTCCGTGACCATCTCTACGACACTGATAACCCATCTTTGTCGTGGAAACATAGGCTCCAGATCTGCATAGATGTTGCGCGAGGATTGCATTATCTGCATAGAGGGGCGAAGCAGGTGATCATTCATCGTGACGTGAAGAGCACCAATATCTTGTTGGATGAGAAATGGGTGGCCAAGGTTTCAGATTTCGGACTATCCCGAATTGGGGAGCCCACCGGCATTTCGATGAGCATCGTGAGTGTGAACACTGAGGTGAAAGGTAGCATCGGGTATTTAGACCCGGAGTATTACAAGCGATTCCTTTTGACGGAGAAGTCCGACGTGTACTCGCTTGGGGTGATGTTGTTGGAGGTGTTATCAGGGAGGCAACCTTTGCTCCATTCTGAGGAGAAGCAACGAATGTCACTTGTTAAATGGGCGAAACATTGCTATGAGAACGGTTCTCTGACTGAGATTGTGGATGAAGAACTCAAGGGCAAGTTAGCACCTCAGTGTTTGCGCAAATTTGTTGAGGTTGCACTGAGTTGTTTGCTTGAGGATGGGACTCAACGACCTTCCATGAACGATCTCGTTGAGCTGTTGGAGTTTGCTCTTCAGCTTCAGGATGATGTTGTTAATTGCGCGGTGGAGAGTCCTGTTAATTTTGAAGATGTACAGTAGACATTTTTCTGATCATATTAAGATTCGATTCAGTATTTCAGTATGACAGACAAGCGGTGCTGATCCTAGCCGTGAGATTGAAGAATCTTGCACCATCACCCAGATCATGTTTTCTGTGATACTATGGATCCAAAGGGACGACGAGATTGTATCCAATACTTTCATTTCATCTAGATTTTGGTCTTTAATTTACATAAGAAAAATGGTTGGGTTAGTATCTATATGGATTAAAATCCTTAATTAGTATATATAATTTGAAGTTATATATAAGATTGTTTTTGTTCTTATTCCATCTTTTATATTGGTTGTTCACGGAGTAAAACCTTTGTGTTTTATAAGTCTAGCAGTACCATAAAAAAAACTGTAAACCAACGTGGTTTGATAAAAAATCAAATAGACATCCATTTATAAAAAATATCCTGACACTCAAATCATTAAGAGAATGCAAAATAAAATAGTTAGAGTTAAAATTCATATTTCCTCCAACATTATAGGACCTTATTTTTAAAATAAATGATATAATTATATCTGGTGATAATTCGACTATTATGGTGGAGGTAAATTAGAAGATAATCAAATTATTAAATATTATTTTGTTATAATAGTTAACTGAATTGATGGCAATATTTAATTCATATTTTAAGTATATTATAAGGTAGGTGCAGTTTTAAATTTAGAAAACCTTTAAATACGTTTAAACATGGAACCTGCTTTGAAAATCAATAAACAGAAAACACGCAAATGATGACCGGGGTCAACTAGAAATGAGAAATTAGAGAGACAAATAATACAAGAAATAAAATTAGGAACAACGATGTTTCTCTATTGTTTGGGTTTCTACGGTTCCAAGCAAACAACTTCATCGCAGAGACAGTATCCAACAATAATAGAAGAGCTATGCCGTCGATTTTCTCTGGCCGATGTAAGAAAATCCACCAACAACTTCGATCGTACGAGACTAATTTACCGTGGAGGACTTAGTATTGAAGTATATAAAGGTTGTCTTAAGAACAATGATGGTTCTGACTATTCAGTCACTATAAAGCGATGTAATGAGGACGGGAAATGGAGGTGGGACCTGTTCAAGAATGAAATAGAGTTGCTCTGCCAGATTCGTCATCGTAATTGTGTCTCTCTTATTGGATTCTGCAACCACAAGAAAGAGAAGATTGTGGTGTACGAGTACATGTCCAATGGATCGCTATCTCAACACCTGCAACGTGGGGGACTGTCATGGAAGAAGAGACTAGAGATATGCATAGGAGCAGCGCGTGGACTACACTACCTTCATGCTGGAGCCAAGCGCACAATCATTCACTGTGACTTCGGTGTTAGAAGCATTCTTTTAAACGATGACATGGAGCCAAAAATCGCAGATTTCATCTTTTGCCGACAAGGAGCACCTTCTATGTCAAAGCCAAAAACAATTAAAGTGAATTGTATTTGGGGTAAATTTCAATTTTATGAGCTTACTCACTACAATGAATTTTTTGCTGGAAAAACTAAGATAATACTTTCATTAATAGGTACTTCAGGCAAGATAGCATGGGAGTATGCCATGTACGGTACAATCACGGATAAATGTGATGTTTACTCATTTGGTACGGTTCTGCTAGAAGTTGCGTGTGGAGGGACATACCATTGGACAGTGGAACCTGAGAAGCCTGTCGAGGATAGCATTGATCCAAATATCAAAAGGAACATTGCACCAGCGTGTTGGAAAGTCTTTGTAGATATCATAGATAGATGTGTGATGTATGAGCCACATGAGAGACCAACAATGGGTGAAGTGGAGGTGGAACTTGAGCATGCTCTGTCATTGCAGGAACAAGCAGATATTGCAAACACCAGCTGTGATTATACTTTATTGTCCAAAACCATATTAACCTGTGGTTTAGAGAACTTGCTTCCTTAGTTATTGAGTGAGTTAAAATCAAAGGGAAACAAGAGGTAGAATTGATAGCACATCTATCTCAGAACATGGAGGGTACATGAATCATTTCCCAAATATATATTTCTCATCTTTACTCATTTTTACCTAATCTAGCACTTCTTTGAGATATCTGTACCTTTTGTAGCTATATTTGTGTTTAGCATTATTATTGTATCTAAAGGTGAGTTTTTATGAACTAGTATAAATAAAGCTAATATTTTCACTTAAAGGCACTTTGGAAAATCTGGCTATGGAGCATCTTATGGACCTTAGCATCACACATAAATCTGATATTTACTCATTCCTAAGTTCTGACCTCATGCTTAAGCCATACCTTCGTTTTTTATTTCTATTGTTTAATTGCAAACTGAAGGAAGCAACTCAGAAGTTATCTATGCCACCCCAGTCCCTACCTTCCTCAATGAATGAACAGATTTTCCTTATTGACCATTTTATATATATATATATATATATATATATATATATATATATATATATATATATATATATATATATATATATATGTATGTATGTATGTATGTGTGTGTGTATGTATTTATTTTAGTAGATGAATGGATAGAGAAGCAATCTGGTAAACGCTGTCAAAATTGACATTTAAATACAAATAAACGTGCAAAAGCCGAAATTCGGGGAAACGCGTAATGAGAACAACCTTGGTTAGTATCCAAAAGAAGTAGGGAAGGATGAATGAATTTGTCAAGGTACAAGTAATTAAGCAAGCAGGCGTCACAAAAAGGAACCATGTTTCTCAAATGTTGGGGTTTCTGCGATAGGAAGCACACAAGTTCATCTCAGACACAGTATCCAGCTGTAATACAAGAGTTGTGCCATCAATTTTCTCTCACCGATCTTAGGAAATCAACCGACAAATTTGATCGTAACAGACTAATTGGATATGCAAGCTTTGGTAAAGTATATAAAGGGTGCCTCCAACACAACGATGGTTCTGATTATACAGTAGCAGTAAAGCGATTAAATGCAGAAGACATTCAAGAACACAACCAGTTCAACAAAGAGATAGAGTTGCTCTGTCAGCTTCGTCACCCTAATTGTGTCTCTCTTATAGGATTCTGCAACCACAAAAACGATAAAATTCTTGTGTACGAGTACATGTCCAATGGATCTCTAGATCAATTCATACAAGGCGGGGATACAGAAACGCTGTCATGGAAGAAAAGGATAGAGATATGCATAGGAGTAGCACGTGGACTACACTACCTTCACGCTGGAGCCAAGCGCACCATCATTCATCGTCACATTTGTCTCGCAAACATTCTTCTGGATGATAACATGGAGCCAAAACTCGCAGGTTTCGGCCGTAGCATACAGGGAGCACGCTTTATGTCAAAGCCAAAAGAAATTCCAATAGATGATGATGTTAGGGGTAATATTCTATTTTATGACCATACTGCTATGGATTTTTGTGAGTTAAACTAAGCTAATACTTTTACCTTTAGGTACTTATGGATACCTACCTATGGAGAACTTCAGGGACAGTACCGTCACAGATAAATGTGATGTTTTCTCATTTGGTATGGTTCTTCTAGAAGTTGTGTGTGGAAGAAACTATTTTGACATGGCACCAATAGAGGGATATCTGGAGAAGCCTGTCGAGGAGAATATTGATCTGAATATCAAAGGAAAGATTGTGTCAGAGTGCTGGGAAGTCTTTATAGATATCACCCGAAGATGTGTGAAGTATGAAGCAGAGGAGCGACCAACAATGGGTGAAGTAGAGGTGCAACTTGAGCATGCTCTGTTGTTGCAGGAACAAGCAGATATCACAAACATCCATGGTGATGAATATACCCTATTGTCCAAAACCATCATCAAATTAAAGCCTGAGCGGGAAGATGAGCAAGAGCATGGTTTGTCATTACGTCAAGAAGAAGAAGAAGATATCAGTAACACAGAAGACAGTGACTTAGAAGACATGTTTCATAGGTAATTTGGTGAGCTTTAGTAAAGGGTTTAAGCTTTTTGAGACAAACAAAAGAGTTACTGCATACTTTTTGCAGTAGTTAAGTTTAATGAAGATATCTCTAGCTTTGTAGCAATCCTTGTTTTTTAGCATTTCAACTTTTAATTTTGATTGTATCTGAAGCTGACATTGTAATTATCTTTGAAACTAGTATAAATTTGAAATCAGGGAAGGAATTCTTCATGAGCCTATATTATTTTTACTCTTCCTCCTGTATATTCTTGAAAGCAATGCTCCCTTGAAATAAATAATGAAGACCAAAAGAATAATGTATCTTTAGAATAAGTTCTTGTAATGTTGAACGGAGTTACTTGACACTAAAAAATTCAAAAGCAAAACAATTGGACCGGTTTGGTCATTACTCTATTAGCCAATTGAAAACTGTAGGAAGCTACTGAGAAGTCGTCTATGCCCAACCACCTTCAGCAACGAATGCACAAAAGCAGTCATTGTCGACATTTTTGTCTGACTGAAAAAGACAGGCAAGTTAAAAATCTGTGGGAAATGAAATACAAGCAGAGCTATTCTCTGCCCAATCTTTGAATTATCTTAGATTTGGCCTCTATTTAGCTATGAATACGAGGATTCGAAGTAAAACTTTTGGTGTTGATACCTGCCACCTCGAAGAGCCTTTTGAAGACTGGACCAGAGCAATAAACTTGAGAACATGATGAAAATTCTGATCGTACTTCTATTTTTGGGATAATTAGTTAATGTAATCAGAAAATTAACAATAGAGCAAATCATGGAGATAAATCACTACCAATATACTAAATAATCTCGACAATAAATTAACATTAATTGACAAATAGAATTTTCCTTCTGATCATTAATGTTGGTGGTATTCTTCACTATTTTTTTACTGCGCAAATGAATTGTGTTTTATTTCAACAATTTTTTTTATTACTGTTCATCTTAACATTTGTTTCATTCCCTACTATTTTCTTTTCCATCTCTTTTTTTTAGCATGTATTTCTTTCTCTTCATTTTCCAAATTTACCACCGCTAAATAAATATTTTTTTATTTTCTTTTATATGATAGATTAAAAGATATTTTCAACTTATCTTATCTAACAATCTTTAGGGTTTAGGGTTTATTTATAAAAATCTTAAATATTAATTTTTTACAAGTCCTTATATTCTTTTATAACAATCCTGGATTTTATTAATGACTCTCCCGTAGTCAGATTGTATTTTCACGTGACTTTGTTTGATTCATCAATCCATAAAATCTATTGAAATATTTTTCCAAACCTTTTTTTTTTTTCCTTCTCAAAATCTCTCTTAAGAGATTAAAGTTTGATTTTCTTAGGTTTGAATCTCCTTCAAATTCTTTTTGAAAAGTATAACATATTTCTTTTACTGTTTTGACTCTTATTCTTGAAAATATGGTTAGGGAGACTCCTCTCTCAACCATTCAAGAATTTCAACATTTATAATTTTTATCTTTTTAATGCTTCTTGTTATGTAATTGTAATACCTTGATTTTCGTACCATATATTATATAAAATTTGAGATATTAAAAAAAGTGTAAACAAAATCTCTATTTTTATTATCCAAAAATCATAACTTTATCCTTTAAATAAAGGAACTTGGACATTCATATATAAATTGTGTTGTTAGATATTGAAGTATTTTTTGCTTCCATTATTTTTCTTTTTCTTTTTCACATACACAAGTAACTTATATTGTACAAACTATTTTTGAACTAAGAGAAAGATAATTTAGGGCCAAATTACTCTCTAATATACATGTCATTACTCAATAATTAGAAAAAAAACAACAACAACGGAACTTGCATTTTCTTTCCATGAACATAACATTTTTCTAGCAAGTTACTACTGCACCAAAACTATCTGTCGGATTTAAATTCTTGGAGAATCGATATAAGGGACGTGGGGCTTTCTCATATGCGTATTGTGGTATAAAGATACATAAACCTTAAGGGCTTAAGGCAACTCATATGAATAGACTTTTCTAGTCAATAGAACTCCAAATTCTGTGAGGTGCTCTTCCAAAATGGTACTGAATTTCTTCATTTGAATTTTTTGAAGTGCTAACCCAACTTCAATTCGACCTTCTTTTTCTCTACAGTCAGAAAGGGAAATAAATCCTGAATTATCTGCATGAACCACTTCACTCCTCTTCGGCTTTCCCCACCCAAAGTCAGTTTCATACACTTCCAGATTTGGTGACCCTGCAATTATTGTCATATGCTTCCCCAACGTGGCAAATTCTGTAAAATTAGACATCAATGTTTCAGCCCCTTCGAAAGTTCCACGTTGCAAATTTCTAACTTCACTACCAATAGCAATGGCTGCCTCCAAAATACCATTTCCTCCCACAAGCTTGCTCCTCTTCACTTCAGCATTGCCACAAACCAAACAATTTCCGAAGTATTCCAATGGAATTGAAAATTCAAGACGATTACGACAATCTGCCATAAAGGCCAAGATGTAGGACTCATCATTACTGGGAAGTAAATTACCAGTTTTAATCTCTTCTGATTTCACCTTACAAACCCAAATCAAAGAACATGTCACCACAAAGGTTGTTAGGTGTGGTAATTCTAGACCATGGCTTTTGCATTCAACAGAGACCCATTTCTTGAGTTTCACAACTTGGTCATGGCTCAGGACAAACGTCTGACGCACCATGTCACAAGGAACATCGCGTATTTCACCCATGGACTCCACATTCTCCGGTAACAAATTCGACAATTCTTGTAAGAAAATATGCTTAAGGCCTGTGGGGTCTTGAATGATGTCCCTATTGTGCAATGGCAGAGCAAGGGAAGCCAAACCCAAGTCTCCATTGAACTTACAAATAGAGGCCCAGAATTTCATGAAGTGATGAAAAGCTCTCCCATCAGCAACCACGTGTCTGAAAGTGATGCATATGGTGAAGCCAGAACGGGGCATAACAGTGACCTGAATGGCCATGAGAGGGATCAGAAACGTGCCATCTTCCAAGGTTTGTGATGGAGGCAACACAGGAACAAAAGGGTGCAAAACTGTGATATCTTTTGGGGAATCAGATACAAGGGAGATGAAATCTGCTGAGGACTCAGCTACTGTGAAGGAGATAGAGTCAGCTTGTGTGTAGAGGATGTGAGGGGGGTTTGACTTTGGAGGGAAGACAAGGTTGGAAGAGAAAGGATAGAAGTGTTGGAGAGTGAGGGAAAGAGAGTGTTTGAGAGTTGGAAGGAGAGTTTGGAAGAAGTGTTTGGAGGAATGAGGGAAGTGATAGAAGAAGATACGTTTGAGAGGAGGGCAACAAAGCCATGGAAGATCGAAGAAAGCGAGAGGGATAGTGGTTGATGGAACAGAACCTGGTGGAGGACTAACTTCACACTTTTCTATCATCTTCATTGTATGAGTCATGGATTAAAGGGTTGAACTTGAGGTGATCAATGTGTGATTCCACAGCTAGAAAAGAATAAACACACTCCAGATCCAGACTCAGATGTATACTGATATATGAATGCCAAAGAGACTGTCCATTAAAAAAGAGATGTACGTGGACACAAACTTCCACCATGAAGTTGAGTAATCCAAATTGCACTTCAATCTTATTTTATTTCCTATTTGCTATTTCTTTATTCAATCAGATTGGGTTGGTGTTGGTTCATGAATTAAATTCGATTTTGTTTTACTTCATGGCTCGGCTCCTTTTTAAATACAGTTTCAAACAGCTGATGCCAATACTTGTTTGTTAATTAGTATTAAATGAAATAAATTCTTAACCAATTGTTAATTTAATATTTTTAACAATAACGAATACAAATAAATGTAAGAACATAAGTTATTTTAAATTGTTAACATTTTTTCTGAAATATTAAAATTTAATTTATAAAGGAAAATGAAAATTATGAATTAAAAATAGATAAAAGTTAAGAATCTATAAAAAGAAAAAACTCATCGAAAAATAGACTGGATAATAACAATAAAAAAACATATTCAATATAGCTATTTGGCATAAAATGAAAGTAATGACAAATAGAAAGACGGTGATGGAGGTTATTTTTCTTCAGCTATGGAGATTTGTTTTGAATAAAAATATTAAAGGTACTGTGATGGGAAAAGGAAGAAAAAAATTATTGATTCAATAACGACCAATATTCCTCAATAAAATTGAAATATGAGAATGATCGATACCTTATTATTAATTTATTTTTAGCCATCAATAATTAATATATAAAATAATAATCAACCATTGAAAACTGAAAACAGATTATCACGTAGTTTTAATATTGCTTAGGAGGTGGCTACAAATATTAATAGTTTAATATATTTTGATTGTTTACGTTTCTTGACTAGTCTTATCCCTCAAACATTCAATTCAACATCTTTAAAATATTGGTAGTGATAAAAATATTATAATACTTTCAAATGCCCTTTAAGATTTTGTCTCTTAACTATATTTCATTAATTAATCAATTACATTTTCCACAATATAAAACTTCTTTAAATTCTTCAAACATTTTTTTATGACTTTATATTCTCATTCTTTATGAGAAGGTCAAGTTTATTGAAATAAAATAATCTGCCCAAGTACAAGTGAAGAACTGTTTTTTGGATTCAACGTCTCTTTCCAAACCTAATTGTGCTCCAAAATATTTTCAAACAATTGATATGCAGAAGAAATATTCTGTGTTGTAGGAGAAATTTAACTTATTTATAAAAATATTCTACCTGTATAGCTGCCTCAATTTGATTTTCAAGTAGTTCATTCATTTTTAAAAATAGTTCATTTCTTTTCTGGTAAAAACGAATTAATGCTTCAGTTATAAAGAATTTAAATGAGAAAATCTTGCTTTTTAAAGGTGAAAAAAATTATACTTCTCTGTATTTCGGGTCGTTGTAGGAGGGACAACATTTTGTGATGATTTGCAGGGTCGCCAATGCTGAATGTGTATGAGGCTGACTTAACAATATGTAAATAACTTGCAATCTAATAAATTCCCCTGTTTGGAATAAATAAGATCTAGAAATTCATATTTATTCTTCCCATTTCTTTACAATACATTTACTTGCAATCTATTTTCTTCCTTTCAGTTATATAGCATCCACACAAATACTATAAAAAAATACACCAAATCCAATATACTATTAAAAAGAATGATGCAATTCATTTTCTACTGGGATGTTTAAAGAGTAATCCGTTAGCATGGCTTTACTGCAAAAGTTTAACCCTCAAGTCATATACTGATAAATGTTGAACTGCAACTCCAATGCTGAAGGTGCAGCCGTGCAGGGTAATTAAGCTATTGTGTGCTTAGCCAACAATATCATCCTAATCTTGATTAATCAATCAGTAAAATACAAGCTTTCAGAGCAACTGCTCCTATTCATCTTTTGCGCATACACGTTCTGCACAAAGAAAAGTTGAAATGCTTTTAGGTTAGCTATATGTGTGCACAGAAAACAAATGAATGTTAAATGAGGATTCATAGCTTAGCATTCCATTAACATAAGAATAGAAGCAGCAGCAGACAAAAGAAAAAAGTGTATATTATTAAATATATATGCAAATGAAATAAGCATGAGAAAGGGATTCAAAGAAAAATGCATGCATTCGGAAGATCAAAATAGTTTTGTGGACACAACTAAACAATTTTTGAACTATTTTCTACAAGGCCAACAGCGATGACATGTCCATGAGCTTGCACAGTGAGCTTAAGAGAATATTCCAACAAATAGAACTGTGTAAAGTATGATTCCCCTTTGTTAGAGAGATAGCTGCTTGTAAAGAACACAAATATAAATAGATAATTAATATTTAATAACAGCCTAAGTTATTTCAAATTGGTATATCTAATAAGAAATGTGATGACCAAACCTTTGGACAAATAAAAGGAATACCAAGAAAGGCTCCATACTGGAAAGTGTTGATCACAAGGAACATAGTACAACAAAAGGGCACAAGGAATATCTTAAACATTATGTGAACCATTAAAAGAACTTTTTGACTAGATTGCTCATATGAAAATAAGGTTTTATTAAGAGAGCTCAATGGTGCAAACTTATTCACATAGGTACTGCACCTGGTAGGCTAAATTAAAGCTTGGTTGTGTATGATATATGGCTTATTTTGATAGACAGGAATGCCTGTAACTCTAAGGATGTTTCTCTCACAGTCCTCACCAATGTTCTGAGCTAGGAATGTGTTAATGTTCTCTCCTTTTTTCTTTGTTTATGTAGTTCCGAAGGAATTCCAAGGGCTGATATGAAAACAAAATGGACAGCTTTGCAGTATGATGCATCTTTGGGTAAAGCACATTCCACTAAAACTAAATCTTATCTTTTCTACTGTAACTGCTTTTAGGTTCAGTTTCATCTAAATTGCTTTCTCAAGTGAATATTGGAAGAAAAAAATACGGGGGCAGGGGATCTAAATGTAAGTACTAGGACGATGACATTTGATGTCATGAATTAAATCATTCATTATACCAAAGTTTAAGTTGAACAATTATTCCAATATTTGCTTGCACTAAACAAGAAAACACAAACATATAATAAACACAAAATCAAGTGCGCACACTCACAAATAAAATGTAATAATCGAAGAGTTCTTACTCAGATACTCATAAGTCAATATCATTGAAGTTCCCCACGCTGACATGCTAAAGAATCTTGGGCCAAACCCTCTATAAAAGCCTTTCCAACCATCTTCATTGATTAAATCTTTAGCAACTTGTTTTATAGAGCTTCTATTTTCATGACCCATTACCTGGAGTGTAGAATTAGCCCGTCAGAAAAATTTAAATAGGTGGTAATCAGAATAAAAAGTATTTTTGCAAGTTAAATGAAAACACACTATGTTCATGAAATGTTCATTTCATTCTTTTATTCTCCCTTTAGTCTTCTTTTGGAAAATGAGGGTGCAATCTAACATTAATAGCTCAATGAAAATACACTATGTTCTTGAAATGTTCATTTCATTCTTTTATTATCCTTTTAGACTTCATTTGGAGAATGAGGGTGCAGTTACCATTCACCATAATAGTTCAATGAACTAATTCTGTAAATACTGAAGCAATTTGTGTATTATTATCTCTTCATCTTTACAATCATACTAGATATATGATTAAATTAATGAACTAAAAAGACAGAAATAAACCTGTTCAATGGAATTATGCATACCTGTAATCGTGTCTTGATAGTATCCAATGGGGTTGTAATGCAGGACGAAGTTGCACCAGCAATAATCCCTCCAGTAGCCTGAACTAACATTATTTTCTGCAGACTAGGAGTGCGTTCATCATATTTGGTATCGTGGTCAAGGAATCTGTTCATGCAACCAGATGCTAATTGTTTTTAACATAGATAGCTTGCATGATAACATAGAAATAAAAATAATAGCAAGAACGTATACTTAGATATCAAACGAGAAGTTTAGAGCGGAAACAGTTTATTCTTTTGGCAGGGTTCCTCAGCCAAGAAGAAACTCTACCTTTCCTACCTAATATAATGTACTGCCAGCATGCAGAATTGCGGATTCAACTGGTGTAATTCCATGCTAACAGACTGAATTTTTACATTTATCTGACCAAGCTCACAGTGAACTTAAATATTTATCAAATTTATTGTTGTTTTCCCATGTCCTTCGAACATAACATGCATCCATAACTCTAACCTAGGTGGAACACATACCTATAAGCTATGTTTGAAACTCATGTATACATCATAATAAACATTTATATAGAAGATACCATGTGTGTTAGTGTTAATAAGTTTTCTTATCATTTGTCAGTTAATAAATATAAAAATATCTTAAAAGTTAATGCAACAAAGATTCAGTTTTAAGCCATAATATCATATCTTACCTCCAAATGAAGCGTTGGCTTGAACCGTAACTTGCCCACCATACAGCACTAGCGGGTGAATAAGTAATAACAGAGAGACCAAACCCCCGATACAATCCTCGGATGCCATCAGACCTTAAAACCTTGCGAGCAACATCCAAACCCCCACTATATTGGGCGTGGCCAGAGTATCCTTGAACCATCAACTTTTGGCTAACCTGAATAACATTCAATGTGGATTAGATATTAGCATTATCCATATTGAAGTAAAAGAAGAAAAAATCATCAAGGAAAGAAATGATAACAAATTAATAGGATAAGGAACTTCCTTACCACAAAATAAATGGAAAAACAAAAAAATACAAAATAGCTTTTTGTATGTTTTTGAGCATCAGCCATTAGAATGCTTTAAAGAAGCACCAGTAGAACACATCACAAACAAAATATATTTATAGCACAAATAGCAATTTGTATGATCTTCCATCAATATACAATAAAATACACATTGTCTGAAGACTAAACACATCATGCAAAACCTTGCTTTTCCTTCATCCAGATAAATTTTCAGAGCTTTAAAGAACCAATTTTTGCATTTTATGTGTCCTGCATCGTAAGTTCTAAAAAAACTAGAAGCATTAGCAGCCCAATGAGAGTTTTATTTAAGAACAATGGGAACAATTTAAAATAAACACTTAATATTACTTTTAAAACTTAGAAGAAAAAAAAATGAGAACAAGAAACACTAATTTTGAATTGATTCAATTAAATCAGTCATGATAGAACATAAACAAACTCCACGATCCCAACTTGGCAAAATGAGGAATAGACCGTTGGCCTGCCTAAACAACATGTTTGATAGCAGAAAAGATGCATTTGAATGTATCATCATACCCATATGTATATAGTATGGCCGTGAGGCACTCCAAAACGAAGTTTTTTGAAGTTCAATGATAAAAACGCTTGTAGTCAATCTCAAGGTTACACGAATTAGATTATCATACCACATCAATTGGTACAAACACAGATTGAGCAAAAAGCGATGATGTCATGCCTGCAACTCCATTTGCAATGGCAGCTTGGGTAGTTTCAGAAAGTCTAAACGGTTCAAGCATTCTGAAGGCAGCCACCTTTGTGGTCTCTAGAGTGGAGAGGAATATTATTCTGGCAGGAATTGCACCAGTAATAACTGTTCCAAACCCTCTATACAGACCAGGGACGCCATCTGTTTTTAGTAGTCCTTTTACAACAGAAAACACATTTCTCTCTACAGCATCCTTTGTGGCAACCTGCAGCCTAGTTTTCACAACAGAAACGGGATAAAGTGCCACCGAAACACCTGTGAAGAGTCCAGCTCCAACGACATAGAACTTAGTTTTATCTAGTCTGCAGAATTGGGTGAAGTTCATTAGGATAAAAGCTTGTAGATGCAAAGTTCAATATAAGACCATGAGCGATCACAACATCTGCAAGATATGTTATTAATAAATCAAATGACAGGCAAGATGGAGTATGGCCTCAAATCTGTAAGACATGTCTTTCACCTTAAGCAGTTCCCATCAAATCGGGAACTTCATAAGCTTTTTTTCCCTTTTGAAGAAAATTAGCTTTCCCTTTCATAATTTTCACTCGAGTCACAAAATACAAACACACCAGAAGCCATAACTCCCCCACTCCAAAAAAAATATTCAAACGGAAGAAACTTTAGGGGCCATGGCATACCAATTTATTACTTTCGAATGCTGGGAAGTCGAAATTCAGAAACAATATCTAAAAAAAATAAATCAATAGCAGCATTCAGAAATTTACAAAGGAGAAGAAGAAACAATACTTGTCCCAGTTAATCTCGGTCTGACCGAAGGACTGGGCCATTGGAGGAATGAAAAAATCTCTGAGAACAGAATCTAAAAACACGATCTGAGGCTGTGAAATTATAAATTGTAATTCAAAGAAAACGAAATTTGCAAATAGGGAATGGTTGGTTGAAAATTTGGTGAAAAGGCTGCGCGTACGCGGTGTTGTGTTGTGGGAGAAGCACGCATCCCATCCCTTCCAATTTCAATTCCTTCATTTTTATTTTACTTTGACCAGTCTCTATTCTCTTCTTCTCAACGCAGACCAATGAAATATTTATGTTCAGTCTTCTCATTATTTTGGCCAAACATACCCCTGTTGTTTTAATTTTTAATCACTACAACTTATGATGTGAATCTTGAGCCATTCAAATTTTTAAACTAATAATTTTTCATTAAAGATCTGTTTACAAAAATTTATACGAATTAAACTTTATTAGCTTTTTCATTTTTATTTACTCAAAAATAAATTATTAAAAATTTATTTACTTTCTCGTATTATTTGTCTTTTAAAACAATATATATTTCTTAAATAACTATTAACTATATAAATTAAAATAAAAATTTATTTATTGAAATATATTTTAAATAATAAATAAAATTCAAAACTAACCAATAACTTTAACTTTATTTTATGGATTTAATTTATGACATCACAATCCATCAATATAGTGCAGCACACGTTTCAGCAAAGCAACCATAAAAGTGTTAAAACAAATTTACATTTTTTATTTTTTATTTTTATTTTGTTGTTTTTAAAATTACCCATGTGAAGGAAATATAATGCAACAAGGCTGGGTAGCGATGAGAAAAAGAAGATGGCGACCCATGTGAAAGACGAAGAATAATCGAAGGATCGATGCATCATCGTAGAAGCTTCTCCGCCAATTGGGGGACTCAGCTGTTCTTCAAACTGGGCTACATACAAATAAATCATCGAGCCAACCGAGTTCGAAACCGTTCTAACAATAGTCATGGATTTAAAGCTGTCGATGTCGTGCCTTTATGACTGCGGAAAATACGTATTTTTTATTTTGAAAAATTATAAACGAGTGTTGCCTCGGTAAAAAAAAGAAAAAAAAAAGGTCGAAGTCGACATGGTTTCGACTTTTCATTTTACGCATTTTTTTGGTGTGGTTATAACGTTTTTAGGTTGTTCGATAACCGGGCTAAACTTAGAGGCGAGACTTTCGAAAATGTATTCTTAGGTTGTCCGATAACCGGACTAACCTAAGAACTAATTTGAAGGGGTTCTTTATGGAGTCGTCACCGACGTTTTTACCAGAAACATCGAAAAAAGAATAAAAAAGATGTTGATTTTCGAAAAAACCAATTTTGGTCATTAAAACCAGAGTTGGGTAACGGAGTTAGTTACGTGTAAGGGAAGTATTAGTTCCCTTACGACGCCCCTTTCGGGTTCCCTATGATAGACCAGTTATTTTATAAATAAACTTTTGAAAAGATGCTTTTACCCTTTTTATTTACGGAATTAAAATAACGATTACATGACCCTAATGTCTATTATGTAATTTACCTATAGAATCACTACTGCAAAAAAGACTTTTTACATCGGTTAAAATGGGCTTTTTACGTCGGTTAAAGCGGCGACATAGATACGGGGGTTATAGAAAGTAAGACTTTCTACGTCGGTTATTAGGAACCGACGTAGAAAACCCTACTTTCTATGAGCTATTCTGATCGGTCAAAACTGGTTCTGATCGGTCATAGAGCTATTCTGATTGATCATAACTGATTCTGACCTGTCATAATACTTTCTATGTCGGTTAACACTGATAACCGACATAGAAAGTCTTACTTTCTAACTTTCTATGTTACACTTTCTACGTCGGTTATGTCATTAACTGACGTAAAAAGTACTTTCTACGTCGGGTAATGACATAACCGACGTAGAAAGTGTTATTTTTTTTTAAAATACCTGCATTTTCTTTACAGATGCTACCTTTCTTCGAGTAGACCTGCCTATTCATCACAGTTCCAGACAAATATTCACAAATCCAGTACAGACAGATATGCACAGTTCATATATAAATTTGCTACAAATATATATCCAGTACAGACAGATCCAGTTACAGACAGATATGTACATATGAAACATATTGAAATCAATATATGGTGCATACATATGTACATATGAAACAGATATGTACAGACAGATCCAGTTAGACAAAAAAGTGCATACATTAAAAAATAATACATTAAAAAAAGTGCATACATTATCAAGTTGGAACATTCTCCCAAAATCCTTCCATATGGTCATAACGTATGACATGCACATCATCTATTTCTACATTAACACTCAAGTTTGGCATATTTGAAGAGAAACATGGTGTCTCTGGTATATCAAGTACTAATTCATCATTCTCATCAGAAGTATACATGGGTTTTCCTTGTAGAACCACTGACCATCCTTTGTTAGCGGGATCAGTGACATAAAACACTTGTTTTGCCTAAGATGCCATGATAAATGGTTCTTCGGTATAACGAGTATTTTCAAGGTTAACCAAGGTAAATCCAAGATCGTCGGTGAAGATGCCAGTATTAAAATCAACCCACTTACATTTAAAAATAGGTACTCTGAATATCGTGTAATCTATTACCCAAAAACATCAATGTCATTTCCAGGTTGTTTGGGACCCGAGATCATCAAAGATAGCATCAAGTACTTACGTTTCATACACAACCACGGAGGTAAGTTGTAAATAACTAACACCACAGGCCATGAACTATGTTTACTGCTTAAATTTCCATATGGATTCATTCCATCTGTAGCAAGTCCAAACCTAATGTTTCTTGGATCATTACCAAAATTCTGGAAGATGAAATCAATTTTTTTCCATTGCAATCCATCTGCCGGATGCCTCAACTGACCATCTTTAATACGACTATCTGCATGCCATCTAGTGAGCTTTGCATCATTTCCATTAGTGAATAATCGTTTCAACCTTGGAACAATGGGAAGATACCATAACACTTTTGCCGGGGTACCCTTCATTACATCATTGTCAGAATCACCATCCTTCTTCTTGTATCGTGATTCCCCGCATTGTGGACATTCGTGACAGTTCTCAAATTCTTTCCTGTACAACACACAATCATTCGGACATGCATGAATTTTGTGGTACTCCATACCCATTGGACACAATATCTTCTTAGCATCATAATTGCGGGTTGGCAATGTGTTTGAAAGTGATGAAGATCTTAGTGAAATACTCTGGCAAAGATCTCATTGATTTGATGAAGTCAAAGATGGAAGTCAACATTGCAACGGTCAACAAGTCACTCAGATAATAGAGTTAGAAGATTTAGTGTGTCTACAGAAGGCTTAGGTAAAACCACTTTATCTTTTCTGCTGCATGAAGTTTCTTCACTCAAATGATTTTGCAAAATGCCTCTAAAATCGTTTTAAACAATTAAAAACAAAGCATTTTGACAAAAGCGTTCTTAATAATGTTTTTAACTGATAAAGTTTTGAAAGAACCAATTAAAATCTCTTAGAATGTTCAAAGAAGAAATTTACAGTATTTTAATCGATACAAATTACTTTTAATCGATTAAAACCCTTTAGAAACCATTATAACCGATCAGATTTAAAATATGGGCGATCAGAACTTATTTCAATCGATTAAAACACGTTTCAATCGATTAAAATCACTTAAAGGGTCAGAATGATCGATCAGAATGCAGTTATGACCGATCAGAGTTGGTTATGATCGATCAGAATTGAATTATGACCGATCAGATCTGTTTCAATCGATTAAAATGCATTTCAATCGATTAAAACAACTTGGAAAAATTTTGTGCAGAGTTTCAATCGATTAAAACATGTTTCAACCGATTAAAACAACTTGGAAAAATTTTGTACAGAGTTTTAATCGATTAAAACTTCTTTTTATCAGTTAAAATAACTTGAAAAGTTTTATAAGAAAGTTTTGCAGTATATCAATCGATTAAAACACGAAACAATCGATTGAATTAACTTAGAAGATTTTTTGAAAAGTGTTTTAATTGATATAACCGTTGCAGTATCAGCTAAAACAATTCTGTTAAAGAATCAAGAACACATTAATGGATTGAAAGGACTTTTAACAGATTGAAACGGCTATTTCAACAGATTAAAACAAACTTTCAACAGATTAATTAATGCAGCAGTTTTTGAAAATACTCTTTAAAAACAGTTTTGCTTGAACTTTTTAAACAGACTTTGAATATCAGTTTTTACACATCCTTAAGTAATCATTCAAGCAAACCTTAGAACTTTTTCAAGAAAGATTCGCAACAATTTTTTGAAGTTATTTTGAAAATCTTTCTTGAGGCAACTTGCATTCTTTTGAAGAAGAAACTCTCTGCAGATTTGGATAAAGCTGGTTTGAGCTTTCTAGTTTCTTCTTTGTAAATTCTTTTTCATTCTTTTGTATTGTGTTGTGCCTGAAATTTGGGCACAAGTTTCTCTGCATGCTGGAAGTTGGTTGTGGAGGTTATCAAGAACTGGAATTTGGTTCTTGGTGAAAGGTTTGGTGCCTGGAATTTGGGCACTGGTTTCTCTGCAACTGGAATTTGGTTGTAGAGGTTATCAAGAACTGGAATTTGGTTCTTGGTGAAAGATTTTGTGCTTGGAATTTGGGCACTTGTTTCTCTGCAACTGGAATTTGGTTGTAGAGGTTATCAAGAGCTGGAATTTGGTTCTTGGTGGAGAGGTTAAGTGCAGGAACTGGAAGTTGGTTCTTGTGTTAGATTAGGTGTAAGATTGTTGAATCTGTAAAACATTTAATCTAGTGGAACCCA